TCATACGTTCAAGTGTTATTATTCGTCATTACTAACATACGAAAAGCTATGCCACAAACGAAATTACATGGTACCAATCTCCAATTTGTTTACTTAGTTTTGACTTAAATATATTGCAATTAGACAAACACCCCATCCGCAACAATTTAATTAATTTTATTATAATAAACTGAAAATCTACAAATCTATCGTATGTAAAAATTAATAAAATACAGTTATTGTGCGAAAAAATCGAAGAAACCTTTTCATATAAAAAAGCCGTACATATCTACACGACGAAACCGTTATTAAAATCCTCTAAAATCACCCACAACGGCACAATACCCGTAAAAGTTTCAAATTACTGCAAACAGTAATAAATCAGACTTCTCTAAAGTTGTACAAATCGTTAAAAAAAAAACTATCTCACGCGTCCCATCATCTGCTCGCTTCCTAAAAGGGGTGAATTCCGTGATATTAACAAAAAAACGCAACGCATACGCCGAACGGGACCGTTGCGAAACAGTTGCTCTTAAAAAGCCCAGAACGCGGAAGAGGACGTTAAGGGAAAACGCATCACAAAGCGTATCTAACTCTTTCCCATGGGTCTTAACCTGGGCGAACTTTTTTGTTCGAAACAGGGACACCTTTGGCATCTTTGCGTTTTTTTTCCGACGCTCGCTTATGGGGTGCGAGGGATAGGCCATTGTGCTTGCCCCCGTAGATCCGCAGGTGGGTCATCGGATACCCCGAAGGAATAACGTCGCGACTTCCTAAACTGCCCTTTACAATTCTTAATTTACGTACCGACTTTTGATCCGTTTGATAGACAAAAACTTCTGTAATAAATCGTAATTTTTTTTGTTTTACTGCAGTCATATATTTATTCAGAGTAAAAATGCCTTTGAGAAAGAGGGGTATGAGAAATGTGAAAATGTCTTTGAGAGAAAATCTGTTTGCTGTAAAAGCAGATAAGATGACGCCAACAATTGAGCCGTGATAGCTCAGTGTCCGGGCGCTCGCCGTTAATTCAATATACTCGAGCAACCTGAGTTCGATCCCCGGTGCCGGCACCGATGAAATTGTTAATTTTAAGTCTGAATTATCACGTGCTCAGCAGTGAAGGAAAACATCGTGAGGAAACCTGCATATTTTTGAAACAATAAAAAAAATGTTTCGAAGATATGTGAAGTCCGCCAATCCGCAGTGGGGCCGTGTGGTGGAATATACCCTGATACCCTCTGTACAGAGGAGGCCTTTGCCCCGAAGTGGGACATGTATAGGCTGATACTTTTTTTACTTTACAACAATTTCTGTAAATGCAATGACAACAAAGTATATATGACGTTGTTCTAACAGTGCCGAAACATTTTGCGACAGTTTTATCTACACATTATAAAGTCTGATCTTCAGTACAGAGACTAGCACTAAAACTCTAAATTAAATATTGGTCATTTAGTTTGCTTAGTTATGTAGAAATTAAAAATTAAACCCATTTAAATTGTCGCCCGAGTTGTGACGTACAGTCAAGGTAATTTTATTTTTGAAGGGAGAGTGTAATTTTAAGATGCGCGTGCATCACTGTAACACAGAAGCAACACCATTGAAGCCGCTCGCTAAACCACTTATTATAGATGGCAGCATATTCTCAATCACATTCGCCCGTTACAGTTCTCAATAAAGAATGTAGATGGCGATTTCGTAATTATATTACTTTTATTATTTATATCCTTTTCCAGTCTTTTTATTATTTTATTGTAATTAATTATTCGCATGCAATTAAAAACTATTTTTTAAACCTTTTGGGAAACTTGGGATGGTAGTACTTTACATTGTACAAACACCAGTTAATGAGGTCAATAAGTGGTTTAGTTAAAAATTTGTCAATCACAGTTCAACTGTGTTAATTTAATAAAGCAAAACTCAACTCCAAAACTGCAAAAGACTTCGATTACATTCCATAGTCGTCTTTAGCTACTTCAGTTTCGTGGTATGATACAATTTGAATTCTAAAACCTTATGTTACATTATGGTTGTATCGATACATTTATTTAAGGGTCCAATTGTCCTCATTCCATCGGCCACAAAACTCAAAGTAGCCCGACGCGAGACGAAGAAAAACAAGCTCCGAGCGATTGAATCTTCGACATAAACGACTAATTTGATAAAATTGAAAAGCACGTACGTACCGATCTCGCACTCGGATGGCCCTGTTGGCGAATTAGTGAAGGCTTCAACCAGAGGTTCGTAGGTTCGATTCCTAGTGATCATTTGCATGTCATATGAATAACTACTTCGAAGCAACGTTTTTATGTATTTAATTGGTTTTCTAGCGGTGTATAATAGTTTAATAACTAAAGGGTTTATTCTAGATACTTTAAGTTAGTAAAGATCAATAGGTACTCTTTTGAGAATTGATTTTGTATTTTAGGATATGTTGAAATTCGAGGAAATTGAACGAGCTCCTAAACGTTTGTATGTTGTGTGCATGATAAGAGGGAGGAGATAGAGTTGAGGAGAGATGTGTAAGCATTGTGGAATATTTTAAGAAGATACAAATTAATGTCAAAATGACGCGCAGTAACGATTTCTTCATGATTCCAGGAAATGAGACATAAAATAAAAATCTAATGACGGAAACAAACAATAGTTGATTTTTTTAAAAAGAAAAGCGTTTACGCGCAGTATATCAATTATACCACAGCTATAGTTTCTGCAGTTGTTCGAAAAGCCATTGACATAAGACGTACGTATAACAATATTAAATGCTATTAAATACGAAACTTTCGAGTCATAATACCTATCCTCTAATTATCTATTTGAATTATAACTCAAGTCGACACAATAAGTTAACGATTGCATAGAAATGGTTATTGATCAGTTATCGATACACATTTCAATCGATACCGTTCATCCCCGCCGCGGGAACACGCCCCTTTTCCGATTAATTAGCAACATTGATGGTGCGTCCGAAATACTTTAACACCGATCACTCCGACGAAAAAAACGCCATCGTAAAATTTCATCGTTCCCATTGGAAAGCCCCGAACTATTTTAATTTCCGCGCAACGCTGCCCGCTGGCAAAAAACGCGCCGAAATCACGAGATATTTCTAATTAGCGAGTAGGATGAGACGCGGGGGAATCCGGCGGACGCTGTTCGTTATTAATTTTTAAAAAATTTAAACAAAACTGACATTTCTCGGTTCGACAACAATGTCGGCCATATTGCGGCGGACATTTTCTGGTAACATTTTTGACAACGCTTCGGATTCGAGCGAGACGGCGTGTTGAACTTGTTCGATTAGACAGAGATGGATATAAATTAGAAATTCGATTTCGCATTCGAAATCGCATAAGTATCTTTTTAAATTATTTATCGTTACGTTCTTTTGCTTTTTGAGTAATCGCTTGTATTATTAGAGGGCTAAGAGTGTGTCGAGCTAACATTAAACACCGACATGACCCTGTCTTGTCGTAATACAATTGTAGAGAACCATTGCAACACATGTCATTTACTAGAAAAATGATAAACATCGGACTGTAGAAACCTTTTTCTTGCCCACGATTGTAATTCAATATAAATGAAATTAAATATAAATTAAGAAAACATGCCTTTATCGGGGACTTGTGTATACTTCAGCAAAGATATAATCTCGCCATGTTGCGCGGTATAATTAATTAAAGAAGAGCTAACCGGGCACGGACCCCAGCCTGTTTGGTACATAATTTTATTCCTTTCTTGTTGGACGCACATCTTATTGTCAAGTGAGACATACGTCAATTTATTGACATAAAAGGTGCACCGTAATAGGTCTATGCGAAATATTTGCGCGAGTAAAAAAGGATTTTTGCATGACTAATTAGTTTTTAATTCCTTGATACTAATTAACATTGTAATTTCTGGTATTTAATTATAGAGTAATGATCGTGACATGTGGCCATCTTGCATGAATATTCCAATTACTATGTTTGGCTAATAGAGTCCACGAATATCTTAAATAAATGCCATAATTATAGGGTTCTACATGAAATAGGTATTTGTTGCAACAATTAATGCCACAATGTTGTTGCAATAAAAAATGCACGTATATGTTCAAGTAATTAATATTTTTCTATTATTTAAACATAAGAGCCAACTAGTCCTCCACTGCCAGAAATAAAACTAGTGTTTTAATTAACGGGTTTTGAACAATTATAACGTAAATTTCAAATAACGAATGTTATATAATTTAATTACTTGCATTGTAACCAAAATAAGATTTGTAATATTGTTTCCTGACTGTTGTCTTAACAATAGTTTTATAAAATCTATAATTAAAGGGCTCGCATTATTTCTATAGTAACATTAAGACTTAAATACGTGACGGTTATCCAGATATTTACAAGAAAGTTGCAAAAGCATCTGATAAACTCTTGCTACAACAAATAAATCCTTTTTTTCTACGTGGTGAAGGTCGCCCGCATATCAAATACAACGTTTCAAATATGACACACAAGTTAACGGTGTTAAAAATGACTATGCCTGTTTGAGTCCACTGCTGAACATAGCCCTCACCCAAAGACTGCTACGAAGCACGATACTGAGCCACCTGCATCCATCGACTTCCCGCACATAGGCTTATCGCCGCACTATAAATAAAAAAAAAATCATTTCTTATATGGACTCCCGAATGGTGTAGTGGGTAATGTACCTGCCTCGTGCGCCAGAGGATGTAGGTTCGGTCTCCACTACTGGAAAAGTGTGATGAACATACTGTTTTTTTAGTGTCGGGGTGTTTATGTATCTATTTACAAAAGAAAAGTATGTTTAAGTATGTCTATCATTTTTATCTTGTATGCGCCCATAGTACGAGCGTTTCTTAGTTTGGGACTAGAGAACGTTGTGTAAAAAATGTTTCCTAACCATAAGCCACAATAAATAAAATATTTTTTATTGCTTACACTATGGTAAAAAATATATAACTTTTTTATTGCTTACTCAATGGTAAAAAATATATAATTTTTTTATTGCTTACTCTATGTCTTGTTCGCTTTTCCGCCGGGCCCCGCCCGCGACCGGACGCGGCGCCTTTCCGAAAGCGCGCGCTTTTTGCGTTCGCGCGCAATTTTCGGGAAATCCGAACGCGCCGGCCGGCCGGCCCGCGGCACCGAGCCGAAGCCGCAATTATACCTATTTCGATGATCGGACTTTTTCTCCTGGGCGACGTTTCGCCGGGTTTGTTATAGTGTAACGCGGTAAATCGATTTGTTCAAACTTACATCGATGCACAGGCAGATCAATGGTATGCGCACAAACATACATGTAGACTGACATATCGTGATTGATGATTTTTTTCCAGAATGGAATTTACTTTCGGTTACGATAAACAAATGAGTCACACAGCGATCCATCTCAATGTCTCGAGAAGCAAGTCATATATTTTGTCTGATTAGAAAGAAAAGTACGATTAAATATATTTATCCTAGTTACCTAGTGTCCATAGCACAAGCTTTGCTTAGTTTGGGACTAGATAGCATGTAGGAATATGTCCTAATTTTTTACATTTATATTTAATTACTAGCTGCAACCGTCATGTTTGATATAAGCGTGGTGTTAAATAATCACCGTCGTTCATGGACATTCCACAGCATATGGATTCCAACGTATGTGGGTACAAACGCGTTGTCAACCTTTAAAAGTGACCGACTACGAAACTCATCAGAAGAAACACAAAAACTTTATACTAATACTTCACGACCTTAAGTGAGGCCGTTGTAAGCACGAATATACTGGCTAGCAACTGCTCTCCTTATAGTTAAAGTTAACCAATGAATTTACTGCTGAATTTACATAAGCTAAGACGAACTTGGATTTGAGCTTGGACTGCCAGGCAATAACATGTTTGCCATGTCATGACAGGTTGACTACTCTATGGCGCAGTCGTCAAGGTATTTTCATCGGCGTCGAGGGTCCTTGGTTCGAATTCCACACGGGACAACTATTTGTGACCCACAGATAATTTTTTCGGATCTGGGTGTTTGTCCAAGTGAAATTTATATATGTAAAACGCTCTTACAACACAGGATAATGTTATCCTACAGTAAGGGCAATGTTTTTAAAAAAAATGACTGGTTGATTATTCCGATAGCATTAAGTCCAACTTTGTACATATTTTGTTATAAATAAATAGACATTAGCTGGAAGTTCATGCTGCACACTCCATCTATCTATGAGTACAACTAGTAAAACCTAAATAAAATAATAAGCTGGGCAACATTGAGGTGTGCCCTGAGATAAATCTGCTCAGTCTTCGGCGTCTTTGATCGTGGGTTTGAGTCTCGGATTAATGAAATTTTGACTTCCATAGCGATCAATCTGCAACTGTATTTTGTCTATATGCAATTTATTTATACTTTCTTTCTTTTTATTTCCACTTTAATTAGCCTATTTACTAAAATATATTAATTAAAATCCTATTATTCAAAAATAACCACACCTATATTGAAAAGTCGCTTGTAGTTCGTTCTTAAACACCTTTTAACATATCATCACAAATCTACAGTAGGTAGAATAGATTTAATACTTACTTAGTTTTTTTCTTTTTCTCACCCTCTTTTGGGACAAGAGACGTCTTACAAACCAAAGTTGTAAAAGAACAAATTGCCAGATAAAATGCAACTGTCTGCGGGTCATACAACTACTTTTACCTAGCGAGAGTTAAACCTGTGTCCCATGATGCGTCGGTTATCAACTGCGTCTACCGAACCATTAAGTCGGTTGAACTCTTCGGCACTGACTGATTGCGGCTCAAATTGAAGTACGTAGGTTCACTCCAAGTTACAAGATTGACATCTGCCACCTGGGAATATTCCAAATGATGTCTTACCACGTAAGGCTATTGAAATAATGAAACATCCTACTTGCAATACAAAAGGTGGTTAAGTGTTGCCAAAATCTTGGGATTTTGTAATTTATAACATTAAATCCAAGAAAACCAACATTTTAATACTTCAAGATAGTGCATAGATCAGAATAAAATAAATAATCAAGTTATTGATGGTAGTTGCAGGCGTGGATCTAGAGAAAAATTCTCGGCAATATATTATTAATAATAAAAAGAAAAATAGAGTAATAAAGAAAAATATTAGGATGATAAAAAAACGAACTTTAAGACTATCATGTAGCTTCGTAAAGAAAGAATTATTTATTATAAACTTTGTATTATGTTAAATGATAAATTCTAATCTTCTGTTTTCCGTTTTCGCTAATGAAATCATGGTAACATCACTATCGAACAAAATGTCTCGATGAATAAGAGTATTTAGTAATACTAGACCAATAAGTCACACTTCTAAAAAAGTAAAAAAGATCCTAAAATGAAAATGAGTTCCCAATGTTCAACGATAAGCTAGCCGCCTGTCACTAAATAATATGTTATTTGGGACCAGCCAAATTAGTAATACGCATCGTCTATTATAGTACCACATTAAGTAATATTGCAAATAAATGAATATTCGACCAGTAGGTTTATAGCCGATCTATTCTGAAGAGGTTCGTTAATCCTACCACCGCACCAGCCACAAATATAATTAAGAAGAAATGAGCAAAATTTAATAAAAACATTTTTAGACAATAGTTTATCAACAGCGTCACCAGGTCATCAATTTCCCACGTGCAGTCGATCTAAAAGACGTCATCGTTTCCACGGAGTCGTCACGTCGCAATATCAATTCGATGTTCACCTTTCCCACACTCGCGTGAAAAAAGAAAAGATAAAAAAAATCCCTAAAAAGCAACATTGTTGCTGCAGCAGCCTGTAACATGACTCCGCGATTTTGTCAAAATATTACTTCGCAGCGGACACTTTTTTTTTTAAATTACCCCTTTTCCGCGCGACTCCTTTCAGCGATGGGGTTGTGTTGTTAACGTCAATGGATTTCTCCGATCTGAGATAGCGTAATCATAGCGATCCTTTCAGTTCTTTTTTATTTTTTTTTATCGAAATTGTGACGAGTCTCTATGCAATTATAAACAACTGCAACCTATTTAACGACCGTTACACGTTTCGAATACTGTTTTCGAACAACCATTTTTTTTCTCTTCACGAACGTTATCATTAAAAAAAACTTGAATCTCTTGTCCAGTCGGCCAGTTTTATCGAATAATTAATTAAATTTCTGAAGAGATGGGAATGAAAAGTAGTTGATCACCTTTTGATTTTACTTACCTTCCAGTTTTCTTCATAAATTACTAGAACACCATCAGATTTGTTTTTCTGATCAAACAAGACAAAAGTATTTTCTGTGTCAAATATATTATGTACGAACATATTTGTATTACAACACAGGACTCATCCCGCTGTATAGAATTATCTATTTTTTTTTATGTGAAAAGTTGCCAAACGAGCAGGCAGTTCATCTGATGTAAAGTGAATACCACCGCCCATGGACATTTGCTAGAGGTACTTACTCAGACGGGCCTGCCCATTCGTGCAACAGCCGAGGCTGCTACGTGGCCCTACCACCGTAAATGTTTGTTACTACATCACACACTACATTTCTCGGCTTTTCTCTACTACAATATGCATGTATACTACACATAAATTACTCTTGAATCACTCTTTATTGATATGGGGAACGGCGCCGAAAGCCGAAATACAGGTTCTCAAAACTTAGTTCGGCGACGGATGCTATTGATCTATTGTAGTTATTTGTAACATTATTATGTATTAGCACTAAGTCCAAAATTGTACAACTAAATGGAAATAAACTTATTATAATTATATTACTATTATTATTATCTATTGCTGAAAACTACAAAAAGCGGGAGTTATTTTTTTATACTATGCAAAGATATTTATTTAAATTTGCTGCGGAAATTTTAATGGCTTTAATATTATATCTCTTTCCTCGCCTTGTATAATTATATGCGGAAGTCAGCTTTACGTAAGTACCGCCGATTTCGTTACGTTGGCGTATAAAGCTTCTTGCATAAAATTTCATCGGTTTCATTTATCCGGCGACACAAGACGGGGCTCTTTGATTTTATTGTGTTATCTGACGCAAAGACGTCCAACGGGCATACATTTATAAAATTTATAAACATCGACCTTTTTTCATTGCAAAAGGTAACAGACAAATAGACGGTTCAGTAAAGTTAAGTATCATCCCCGCATATGGATTCCATTCTAAAAAGGCCACGATTACCTCACAATGTATGGCAAAGGGTGGTTGAGACGAACACCAGTAGAAGCTACGACGTAGCTACCATGTCATTCAACGCTAATTCATTTTAGAAAAACTAGTGGTCGCCCAGTGGTCGGTACACTCCTTCCCCATATAAACTATAAGTGTGGGAAATTTCGTACTCCTCCATCCGCGCAATTTTCTTAAAGAGGGATACGTATATATTACGTATTATTCCCTAACATCAAACTTTAAAACTACCTAACTAGCAAACTTTATTAACAAAGTTGTACGTAGCGTTGTCTTTATAAAGCCATCTTCAAATTTTCCGAACGAAGATGAAAAGATAAAAAATGTTTACCAAACAATAACAAAAACCGTTACCCCTAATCCATATTTCGAATTTCGAACGGCCGCCATCCATTCCGAAACAGTTCCTCGATTCAAAAGAACCACATTCGTATGCGGCCAGCGTTGCGCTCTAAATATAAAAACTCTTTTTTTGTCAAATATGGAAGGGTTACGTTAAAAACATTCTATTTTAGAATTGTTAAAAACTCCACATTGTATGGAATACGTCAAAACTCCGCGGGTCGCATAGTACAACTCACGAAATGAGAGTAATCTACATATTTTAACTATTTTGTTGATCAAACATAAACAAGTGGCATGACGTCTTAACATATTTTGCAATTAGAAAGATTTATAATACACATAAAATTTAAAATCATTTTTAGATTTCAATCAAATTTCACTAAGTATAATGCATAATATGACTATGACATATATATAGTGACACCAAAATACAAACTTTATTTGGGTTACTTCTCTGCGTGCACGTTGATTATTGATTGATATTAAGAATACAATAATATTATAATATACGATTACCTTCCCTAGAAATTATCTCTAGCCAATCAAGTTTAGTTCACTTTGAATTATAGTATTTTAATAAATAGATAATATAAATAAATAGCAATTTAAATATTTTAGTATTCATAAATACATACATATTTTTTTAATATTTATCTTTGTTCTTCGGTTGTACTATCTCAACATTATTCCTTTCTCAAATGATACGAAAGACACAGGAAGCGTCGGTTTTTTGTCACTTCCACATCTCAAGCGAACTG